AATTGACACAAAGAGAGCAATATACACTATATTGACAAAAGTATTTAAACTTCCTGCCTGGAGGAGGAAAACACCGAGAGTGGAGAGGACCGGCCCGGGGAAGATGACTTGAGGTGAAATGTTGGTGAGAATTGTATTCCGAAGAAGGTGTGAACTACAGTTGATATCCATCAAGTTGATCTTCAGTGTCCAATGTGGGACCAAAAGTGCAGTTAGATCATACATAGTATTATGTGAGGTCACAATGCTGGAGGTGAGCAGACATCTGGTGCTGGAATTTTGCACTTTTCTGTTTGAAGCACTTGGTGATGGTAGAAGGAAGAAAGCACCATAAAGAAGACATTTTTGGACTTTTTATTTTCTAATATTACTTTCTTTTTTAATATTTCTTTCTTTTATAATAATTTTTGGATTCAGGCTGTGTTCGGCTTGTAGCGGTGCACTGGTTCACTGTATATACAGTAAAAGTACATGTCCCTGCCCATGTACAGGCTTGTGTACACTAATTTACACTGAGTTGGGGCACTCTAGACACACTTGCCAGGCAGGAGTAAACCTGGCTTAGCTCGCACCCTCTTTTTCCACATACCTTGATTCCCTATGCTTTCTCCAGCTGCCAGAAAGCCGGGTCAGGTCCGGCAGGTTCCCAAGTATGAATAATATGTAGTATACATACCCCTATCTGATGCTGGGTCTGCTTTAATATAATAGGGAAATATTGCATATGAAATGAATACACTCAAACAGGAACAGTGTTTTTAAAAAAATGAACACTAATAATAGTGTAGCAAATAAAAGGTAGGTTGCATTAGAAGACATCAAACATGAAATATTTTAATGCTAGAGTGGTGTTCCTTTAACAGTTTTTGATTTTGCTATAACAGTGATGCATGCTAGCTGCTGTATGTCATTGCATATGTTTTGCGGGTTTTGCACCATATTCTGCCTCTTGTATTTGTATCAATTTCCTCTTTGTGATTGTTTTTTAGAAAGGCTCACAACCCAGAGTAGCACAGGACCTAATGAATGTAAACAGCCATTGTTATTGTACATGAATGGTATGCAAGCTTCATAGTCACCTCATCAATCACACAAATCTACAAACACAGAATATGTATTTCAATTATGTAGCCTTGTAATGTGTTTCGGGCAATGTACATATCAAATTGCTTGTGTTCAGTTGAACCGTACAAGCACACCATTCATCATTTTTACAAACTAATTACTAAATACAGGTGAATTCCAAATCATTCGGAGAATGTGAACAGTGTGATGTTATGACAGAAGGCACTAGAATACAAGTTGTATTACATATTATAGCTGAACTCTAACTGAACTATTTTATCAACTAAAGAATATTTTAGCCACTTTTTCAATCCATGCAGCCCTGCCCACTGCTTAGCCAGGTTCTGGACATTTCTGCAGTATGTAATGCAGAAAAACAATACATCATGGATCATGGCCCACCTCACCCCACCCAATTCCAACTTTTGACTGGACACTATTGCACCAACCCACATTATGTGAGAGCCTTGTGCAAAGCAATACCGTGCTCATTGGTTCACAGTGTTGAATTGTTTCTTGCATTCTGCTATACAGTGGATTATAGAAGGTTGATTTCAAGACAGCATAGCTTCCTAACAGGGGCGGACTGATAACTCATGGGGCCCCCGTGCACTAGGGGATCATGGGGCCCCTGTGTCCTCGCTCACACTCAAACCACCACACCCAAAAAAGCCTTTGAAAGGTACCAGGGGCATCTCATAGGGCCCCCTACTGACCCTGGGCCCTCGGGCACTGCCCGAGTGCTCAAATAGTCAGTCCACCCCTGCTTCCTAATGTTAGTTCTATGAAAGGTTAAAGTTAGGCTTGTGTCTAAACTGCTGTACCTCTGAAAAGCGTTCCACATTCCGATTGTTTTTAGAGGCATTTGATGGGAGGTGAAGAGTCAATATGATGCCTCCTCACTGCCTGTTTAGACCCTGTAAATGCCACATCAGTATGCCACAACTGAGTGCATTGCTTGCATCTGTGGGGTGTTTGTGGCATGTCCTCATTCACTTTAGTATTAGTTTGTGCAGCTGGCATGAAGCGAAGCATAGCCACCCCATCAATTGAACACTCCAGTCTGCTCCTTTGGCAGCTTAAGGTAGGGGTGCAGTTAAGGGTTGCTAAAAATGTGGCTCAACCACATGTTTTTATTGCCTCCAAGAGCAAGTCTAAACAAGCCCTAAAAGTGCACTTTATTATCTTTAATGGACAAATGAATCACTGGTGTCTTTATATATCCTTGGGATTCAGCTTTAAGGAAAACATGTATAGCTGCTTTTACTTTTTCAATAAACTGTTTCATGTGCTATTTCTTTATGCAACAGGCAGTGAAAATGTTGATCTGATTTAAAGCTACACAGGTCTGGCCATGCAAAAAGGGTTTCTAATGTCTTTTTAATACTTTCTGTGAGGACTTAATTTCTGTAACTTTTTTCTTTGACCTTCACTGCCCTTTCCTTAGTTTCTCCATGATGGCAGGCAGCAGAGGAGTCACCTATGGCTATCAACCAGTCATAATCTTAGGGAGAGAGATATAGTATGGATGTAGCAGAACGCCCATTTACTTACCATGCACAGATGCATGCCCCTTTAACTCCCTTTCCCACAACTGCTTGGTTTCCTAGACATGCCCAGGTTTCTTTGCTTCTGTAGCGCTCAACCCAATAGGGTTGCCACCTCAACCCTTTAAACCCAAACACATATTAATGACACAGGCTCTGAGGCTAATTAATTGCAGATAAGGCACTAGTGAGTTTAATTACCACCTTAATCAGCCACAGAACCTGTGTCATTAATATGTGTTCAGTTTTAAAGGGATAAGGTGGAAATCCTAACTGTGGATTGAGCTGATGAATTGCATTGGTTCCCTTCTGTCCTGCACCTGTGATGACACGCCCCTTTTCCTAGACCCGAGAACACTGACATACCTTGAAGGTTTAATTGGGTTTTATTTAATGGCAACGCCCTAGAAAGGAATGGGTTCATGAACAGTTTATAAGAAAGCAATGTAGGCACCTTGTTAAGTGAGAAAATTCAACAGGGCATCACTGTTCATTCACCACATCTGTCTTCTGGGATGCAACTGGTACAAAAATGTTACTGGCTGGTAATTGCAGATTATTGACAATCCAACACAGTACAGCAATACAAATGGCATTTGCAATGGCAATACAGCCTACTTACTACTTAATGCAGAGATGCCATGCCTAACCATTGGCCAGTGGGACTATGTAGCAAGTCAGCCTGCAATGGGGTTCTTGCGTGGCAATACTCAGTAAAGTAAACAGGATGGCAGCTGGAGGCCATTCACCTCTGATAGCAGATTCTAGTCCTAAGCCGTCCTTTGGTGGCTGGTGAAAGGGTCCTCCCTCTCGAGCCAGCTCTCTGCAGCTTTTTCAGGTAGCTGGAATACATGGTCACTGTGAGCAACTGGAGAGCACTGGAGTGGAAGCAGTCTCTCCTCTCTCACTGCTGACAGGAGAGTGTAGCATAGCAGCAGCCCAAATCCTGGTCCCTGCACACAGGTTTGCATGTGATTTAGGAGCAGCACACTTTTTTCCTGGCAGAACAGATCCTCCAGCAACAGCATGTGGTCAGCAGCTTACAACAACAGTCCTGTGGCTTCTTCCCACCCTGAGCTCTGTAACACAGGCTTCCAGGCTAACACTCTCTGGGCACACAAAGTACTGTTCAGCTCCCAGGCTCTGTAATAACAATCACAGAAAGTTCTCAATCCTGTTTCCCCGCTCACAGAACACTTCCCAGGCATCTATTAAACTGGCTAGGCACTCCTGTTCCCAGGCTCTTTAAATGGGTCCCACAGCCCTTTAATCAGATCCTACATGGATCTCCTGCTTCTGCTGGTGGTGGGGCTAAAAACGTCAGGAGCCAGCCTGGCTCAGACAGCCAATCAGAAGTCCTTCTTCCCCAGGGTTGCTGGGGCAGGTCCTCTTCAGCTGTAGTAACAGCAAGTAAGGACACAGTCCAGACCCCTTTTCAATGCAGCTGTTAATCACAGGAGAAAAGAGAAAAAAGTCCTTTGTATGTTTATTTCATCAGTACTGCTAGGCAAACATTTGAAGAGCACAGCCTAGTGCTACACTTCCTTCTCTCAGCAGCTCAGTGAGGACACTCCTGATGAGGCAGAGGTAGCTAAACACGTGATCTGCAGCCAGATGAGAGGTCCTCCACAGTCACAACCAACATGCAGGCATTTGGAATGAACCTAATAGCACACATCTTCTCCAGAAGATCCGGCTACAGTGTGTACTCTTCCCCAATTGCTACCAGAGTACTTCAGTTCCAGTGGCACTTCGACCTTAGACTTTGGATCCCCCCTGTTAGCAGAGCTACCCTGAACTTTACGGTAAAGGACATTGTCTACATACCTCCCAACTTTTGAATTTGACAATGAAGGACAACTTTTTAAAGGTGTCGAATCTTGCACGTGTAGTAGAGAAGTGTAGAGAAGTGTGGACATATGGGTGAGGTTTACAGTTATCCCTTCAGCAGTTTTGATAACAATCCCATCTGGCACTGGAAGATTTACCATAATTAGGACAGAAACACATTTAAGAAGATATTATTCTTTAACCGCCTCCCATATAAGGAAATGACGGGTCAAGGCGGTTCTCTCGTTCTGGGAGGACGTAATATGACATCCTCCCACTCTAACTGCACGTGTGTGGCTCCGGGGGCATGCAGCTCGGCGATCGGTGGTGTGCTGTGTCCCTCGGACAGTGGATCACCGACCAATGGAAAGAGCTGAAGACGTCGGCTCTGTCATGTGATCGTATGTAAATAAGGAAATGCCGGTTATCGGCATTTCTCTCCTCACGCGCTGTCACGCTGACAGCTCGTGAGGAGAGGAGAGCCAGTAATTGCCATTCCTCAGATGGGACATGTACACTGATCATCAGGGCACTGATGATCAGTGTGCCCTGATGATCAGTGTAGCCCCTTCAGTGCCACCTGTCAGTGTCCATCAATGCCAGCTGTCAATGCTCATCAAGGCCATCTGCCATTGACCATCAGTGCCACATCAATGCTACATATCAGTGTCTACCAGTGCAGATCAATGCCACATATCAGTGCCCATCTGAGCTGCCTTTCATTGCCACCTATCAGTGCCAGTCAGTGCCACCTATCAATGCCAGTCAGTGTCACCTATCAGTGCGCCAATAAGTGCCACCTATCAGTGCCAGTCAGTGCCCCCATCAGTGCGCATCAGTGCCACCTATCAGTGCCCGTCAGTGCTGCCTATCAGTGCCACCTAACAGTGCCAGTCAGTGCCACCTATCAGTGCCAGTCAGTGCCGCCTACCAGTGCCACCTATCAGTGCCATATATGAGTGCCGCCTTTCAATGCCCATCAGTGATGCCAGTCAATGCCCATCAGTGCCACCTACCAGTGCCTCCTCATCAGTGCCCATCAGTGCAGCCTATCAATGCCCATCACTGTAGCCTCATTAGCGCACATCAGTGAAGGAGAAAAATCACTTATTTACAAAATTTTATAACAGAAACTAAGAAAAAACATTTTTTTTTTTCAAAATGTTCAGTTGTTTTTGGTTTGTTTAGCAAAAAAATAAAAAAACCCAGAGGTGATTAAATACCACCAAAAGAAAGCTCTATCTGTCTCAAAAAAATCATAAAAATGTCATATGGGTACAGTGTTGCATGACCATGCAATTGTCATTCAAAGTGTAACAGCACTGAAAGCTGAAAATTGGCCTAGGCAGGAAGGGGGTATAAGTGCCCTGTAGGCAAGTGGTTAATAAATGCATGTATGGTTTTGTTTAGCTAGCTACAACTTTTAGCACAGTTTTAGTATTTATAGTGTTGTAACCCAAATGTTTTTGCAGAGAATACAGTGATAAACACCAATAAATGTACAACATCTATTGCACAGGGATTAGGCGTGCATAATGTAAAGATTGCAGGGGTCAGGAGTGTGTAAATCACAGGACACTGTACAACCAAACTTTACCCCCTGCTCATCTCTCATCATATTTCCCCATAATTATTACCCCCACAGACCCAAATTCCCACCCAGTACAGATTTCCATCAACAGCCCCAAACCCCCCTCAGCACAGGCCACCCTCCCAGCCGTTTCTCAATAAAGATGTTCCATTACAGATCACCCCCACAGTACAGAGCCCCCACCCAGCCCTTTCTCAGTTGAGACCCTCCATTACAGACCATCCCCACAACACAGACCTCCCAGTATAGACCACTCCAATGCACATACCCTCCTCCCAACCCCTTCTCAGAACAGACCCCTCCCTCCCCACCAGTATAGTTCCCCCCCAGTAGAGAACTCCTCCCCTCCAGTACAGTCTAGGTCACTCCCAACCAGTGCAGACCCCCCCCTCTTTCCAGTACAGACCTCCTCCCCACCAATGCAGACCCCCAGTACAGACCACCCAACACAAGTACCCCCTTCTGAACTGTTCCAACAGTTTGAGGGTCTTAAAGGTTAAGTTCATCTTTTGACCAAAAATAATAAATTAACTTTTTTTTGCTGGTAAAAAAGGGCATTTATTATTTTTGGGTGCAAGAGCCTGTAAAGTATTGCACAAGTGATCAGCAGATCGCTGGTGCCATGCAGGTCTCCTGCAGACCTGTCAGTATATCTGCTTGCCCATACGGGATATATGGGCAAGCAGATATGCTGACAGGAAGACAGGCTGACAGGCTGCTCCACAGCACTGTAGTAGTTCATTGAGAACTACAAGCCGACAGCTGCTAAGGACATGTAGTTCATTTATTCACAGAACACTGTGACTGAATGATGTGGCCATGTGGGTGGAGCCCCGCATGACTGCACTGTTTTTAAAAAGTGGCAGCTGGAACGGGGAACTAATCCCTGTACTTCTGTCGGGGGGGGGGGGGGTAGTTTGGTCAGCATCTGCGGCATTAAGAACATTTTATATGTTCTACCCTAAAAATGGGCAGAGCATCTAACCTGTTCCCAAAGGTGAACTTATTTTTTAAGGGGGCATGATTAAATAGATCCTACGTCTCTTTTCTGTATACATGACACAGGTATGCCACAGTCCTCGTAGAATATGTCTTAAATACTGTGCCTCAATTGAGAGTCTAGCAGACATGTACAACACTCAGCAGAATCATTTTTAGAAAAATGAAACTCTTCCATTATGCATGCTTTTCAGTAGAGATGTACAGATACTAGTGTTTTAAGACCTCATGTATTCACCAATACCAATTACCAATACCTATTGTTAGTGTCATGGGACATTTTTTAGATTAATGAAAAAATATTACCGTTTCTTTACAATTATGAAGAACTGTAGCTCAAAAGACATTGTAGCACTACCCCCTTAGGATTCACTGAGTTATTTTCAGGCTCCCAGTTGTTTGTGACCCCATTCTCGAAGCCCAACCCTTGCTGACACCACCGTAGACTTCTGGCCAGGGAAAACCCTCTGGATGTTACCAGAAAATAGACTCACACACAGTTTAGAATGAATTGATATTTTGCTGACATTGAAGTTAAATGAAAGCACAGTAAAGAAACATAAAGTAATAGGTGTGTAAATAGTAACACTTACCACTCTTAGGAACTTTAAGCAAAAGTCAATAAACACAACAAAAAATCTCAATCAAATCTAGAAGTCCTGCAATTCAGAATTTAACTAATAGCCTCAACCCAACCTCAGATGTTTCTTCCCCCAGTGAGCAGAGGAACTACCAACAAGCAAGGCTAGCTCACTTTGAGCTTTCAGGGGCTGGTGACAGGGTTCAACTCTGAGGCAAGGAAAGAGCTCTTTAATTAGAAGGGTCAAGGTTCCTTTGACTGCAGTGAAAGATCTTCTGTGCACCAGCTAAGGCCCACATTGGTGCACTACAAGAACTCAGATCTCCTTGAATGCAAACAAAAGTGGAAGTTCCTTGAAAAAATGAATGCAAAGAACAACAAGACCCCTTCAAGTGGCATTCAGCTTTGGCAGTACCCCTTTAACATATAAGATGAGATGCAGATTTTACACAGGGTATTTTAAGGGGTGAGCAGAAGCACTGGGTGCAGGGGCGGAATGACCATTTGGGAACTCGGGCACTGCCCGAGGGCCCAGGGTCAGTAGGGGGCCCCATGAGATGCCCCTGGTACCTTTCATAGGCTTTTTTGGGTGTGGTTTGAGTGTGGGTGAGGACACAGGAGCCCCATGAGTTGTCAGTCCGCCCAATTTGCACAATAGCAAATGGCAACAAAGAAAGGTGTCCCTTGATAAATATAGGCCACTTGCAGAAGGAGCAGTGATATGGCTTGGCCTGCAGAGGGTGGACACTGCAGTGGGCCCTTGTGACTGGATTATGCTGTAGGGGTGTTTGCTAATAGGCTGGGTGAACTAGGCCTCAATATGTGCAACTTGTGAACAATGTCAGTAATAACTCAAATGGCTTGAGAATGGGACTCTCTCATCCGATCTGTGGCATCATTCAGGTAACTGGTGGTCTTTCTGTAGATGGGGGCCCTCAGCCATCCTATGGTTCCTCCTTTAGAGATCCCTCCTGACAGCAGCACTGTGGATCACCAGCCAACAAGATGGTTCTCCAGACTCATTGGCAATGTCAGCGGTCAGTGATTCATCTCTTTTTCTCCACTCTCTTACTCTGTGGACTGGCCCAGTGCTTGGGCATTTCACACAGCCTTCTCCTCACACCATCTTCCAACTCTCCCAGCTCACTTCCTGCCTCCGCATTCCCAGGCTTCTGTATATATCTGCTTCCACTCACATGCCAGCTCCTCTGGGAAATGTAGTCTCATAATCCATTGTTTCACATCAAAGTCCTGTGCTCAGCCTACAAAGTCCATAATGCTTTTCACCAGAGTGTGTGTGCCACCGAGTTGCAAGACACAGCTACCTTGTGTCATTTTTAACATCCTGCAATCTGAATAATAGCAGGGTGTTACAACATTATCAAACAAATAAAACATTTTTATTTGCTTGTCAGTTTTGTGAAAGTTCACATTTCACAGAACATGTTTATAAATAAATTATTAACCCTTTAGTGACTAAGAGTAAATGAAATCTTAATGCCTGAACACAATTTTTCAACTTTCACATGTATTAGTAAAATCATACATATCATCGCAACTACTTTGTGCATCTACATGGATTATACCTTGTTTTTGTCAGGACAAATTGGGCTTTCTTTTGATGGTAAACAGATATCTCCTGACTTTTTTTTTACTATCACACAGAAATTTACCCAAAATAGTAAAAAACCCCCACATTTTTTTAAAATTTAGATGAATATTTCTTGCTAATACCTAGGGGCGCCATCGGGGGGACAGCCCATACACTTGTAGGGGTCCCAAGGGGCCCGAGCTCAGGACTGGAGCCAGCAATATAAAGCATCTTTAGCAGCTGTTAGGACACCAGGATAGCCCAGCAGCCTAATAAGAACAGATCAGTACAATGATTCCTCCCCCTACCTTCTCCCCCAGCAACTGATTGGGCACTTACTCCTATTCAGAACATTCCTGAAGCAAAGCCTGCTGCTAGGCTCGCATTTTGATTGGGCAGGACTCTGGGAGGGGAAGTGGCCAGCCTAGGATGTGATCACACCCAGCCTGCCTTCTATGATGCACAGCTCGAGAGAGCAACACTCAGGGAGGTAAGTGTGCTGTGGACTGCACTAATTTGCCCAGACATCACACCACATTTACATTTTACTACAGGCATACATCCTAACATCATAAAGGAATGTCTCTTCTGTTATAAGGAATGAGGGGAGGTACAGGGATGAAGAAGATAATGGTAAAAAGGATGCTGGGGATGAGGATGATGGGTGATTATGGAAAGAGGGAAGGATAGAGGCTGCTGGAGGGATTAGGATGATGAGGATCGCTTTCACAGATGTACAACTTTTTTTATTCTACACTATATACATATTTTTTTTCATCCTGAACCTGTTTTAATTTTTGCTTATAATGTTATATATATATATATATAAACTGCAAGTTACAGTTACTTTCTGTCTAAATACCACAATCATCACAATCTGTGTTTTAGTAGCTGCAGTGGGGGCAGAGCAGACATTGGAGGTCTAATAGAACCCTTCTGTAAAAGTAATTCAGCAGCTCTACAACCTCTCAGATTGCTTTTAAATGATTCAGCATAGCCAGCTGGGAAATGGTTAAATTGTTGTCTATGGACAATTTTGGGTACCATAGTTTTTGGCAGTTCATGGACACATACAATTTTGAAGTTTGACGTTTGGTATCTATTTCCTCAACGCAACCCCATCTGTTATATTTTTACAGAAAATGGACATTATATTATGTTTGTATGCATTTAAAGTCATTTTGGT